CCCCCCCCCCCAAAAGATTACAGAATCAAAAGTTTCTCCTGGAAAGAAAAGGTCCAGGGAAGATATAGCTAAATTTAACGGTCAATTGTCATCCTCATCTTGGTCTATTAGCAGCATTTGACATCAGTGATTATTCCTTCCTTCAAATGCATTCTTTGGGGTTCCAGGGTGCCATACTACTGGCTTCCTCCTAACTCAATGGCTATTTCTTCAGATATTTGTAGCTTTTGTCCTTTTTAAAAAATTTTATTTTACTGATGGGGGGAGAAGGGAGAGAGAGAGAAACATCAATTTGTTGTTCCACTTACTTATGCATTCATTAGTTGATTCTTGTATGTGCCCTGACTGGGGATGGAACCTGCAACCTTGGCATATTGGGAGCACACCCTAAGCAATTGAGCTGCCCAGCCAGGACCCAGCTTATTTTGTCTTATTTTCCCAACTTCTAAACATTGGAGTGTCCTTAGCTCAGTCTTATCTTAAAATGTCATCTTAGTAAGGTTTTCCGCGGCTAATCAATTTAAAAAATACAACATACATTAACCTCCACTCCCTTCCTGTTTTTTGTTCGCCATGGCACTTAACCTAGCATGACATGTGTTGTGCTTAAATACATGGTTCATTTTTCACTTCCATTTAAGCTGTGTAAGCGGCAGGGCTTTTTTTGTCTGTTTTATTTTCATTGCTGTATCCTCAGTACCTGGTTCATATTAAGTGTTCAGTATGTCAATATTCTCCAGCCTAACACCACCAGGAACATACCTGTAGTTGAACAAATTGAGTTTTTGGCTTTATTGCAATGAGGGTGACGGTTCACGAGGGGAAATCATGCAGCTGTTTGGTAAAGTAAGGCAATGTTAGCAAAGACATAGAGCATTCAAGCTTGTGGTAGGTGGTTTGGGGAAGGTTTTAAGGAAATGGTGCTCTGCTCTGTATTGGATGCTGCCAGGAGGCAGAAATAAATCTCTTATTGGGTATCTTAATGAATTTTTTTCTAAATGGAGGGAAGAAGAGTTCAAAGTTAAAACTAATTGGTAAAGAAGTCACTGTTTTAGGGTGGTTTGCTATGCTTCAAGAGATACCAGAACACATGAATTGAGGATGGCTTGCATGTCTCTTGTTGACAGATTTAAATCCAAGGATCACCTCTTTGGAATTTGAAAACAGCACGTGCTAAGGTCTTTTCATTGAAGTTGTTCTCTGATCGCCTGCAGAACTTTAAAAGCTCCTGATTTAAGATTAGGTAGAAGCTGATTAGGCAGCTGGTGACTGACAGTGGCAGTTTATATCTGTTGGTGATAAGACTAAACAGCTTTCCCTAACTTATTATATTTAATATCATTATCAGAATAGAGGAGAGTTGAGTACTCTACTGAGAATTAATTTATGATTATCCTGAGAGTATTTTTTTTTAAATATATCTCTATTGATTTCAGAGAGAGGAAAGGAGAGGGAGAGAGAGATAGAAACATCAATGATTACAGAGTCATTGATTGAGCCCACAACCTGGGCATATGCCCTGACGGGGAATCGAACCCAGATCGCCTGGATCCTAGGTTGATGCTCAACCGCTGAGCCACGCCCAGCCGGGCTATCCTGAGAGTATTTTTAAAAATTTCCAGTGCCTTTAATTTAGATTATAAATTATATTATACTTACCATCCGTGGTTAGAGCATCAGCCCGTGGACTGAAGGGTCCCGAGTTCGATTCCCACCAAGGGGCACCTACCTCAGTTGCAGGCTCGTCCCCTACTCGGGCCAGGGCATGTGCAACCAATCATTGTGTCTCTCACATTGTTGTTTCTCTGTCTCTCTGTTTTTCTCTCTCTCTCTCTCTTTCCCCCTTCCACTCTCTCTGAAAAACAATGGAAAAAAATATCCTTGGGTGAAGATTAAAAAAAAAAAAAGAATAATTAAAAAAAAAAAAAGAAGGTGGAAATTAAGGTGGTTGATAAAGTTCAGGAAGAATTGAGATAGAGAAGGGAGTGGCAAGAGTTGGAATCTCAGGCGAAAACATAATTTGGGAGATGATATATAGCAATTTTGGTGGCTGTAAGGTTCATGGAAGGGAGTAATGCTGAAGATACATTTAGGCCTTGGAAGACAGGTTAAACTCGGACTAAGTTAAGGTTTTTTAACTAGACTGAGTAGATAGGATAAGCAAAAGGATGTACAATGGAGGAAAGAGAGGAATGTAGAAACAGAAATAGATATTGGAGTGAGAGGAAGAGAAGGTAAAGTATCCCTGAACCTCAAGTTGTAGTGACATTAGAAATGGGGAAGATAACTGTACTTATAATCAAACGAGTAAATAAATAAACATATTTGATGCCCACTTGGTGCAAAGTTCTTGAACAGTGCTTTTCAAAAGAGGGTTTAGAAATTCCTGTGCTTTCTTCTTTTTTTAAATCCTCACCCAAGCAGTGAGGGTATTTTTTCCTTTTTTTTTTTTTTTTAAGGAGTGTAAGGGTGGGGAGGGGGAGAAAGAGAGAGAAACATTATGTGACAGAGACCCATGGATTGGTTGCCTTCCACACTCATCTGGAGGGCGGGATTGTACCTTCAATCCAGGTACGTGCTCTTGACAGGGAATCGAACCCAAGACCCTCCGGTGTGCAGACCCCACGCTCTAACCACTGAACACTCCGGCCAGTGTTTCTAACATATCTTGCTTGAAGATTCCTGTATTAATATTTAGAATGAGATGGTATCTATCTGTTTCCTTTGTGAGCTATCATAGTTAAGACAGGTTCTATGTCAAAATGTGCTGGATTATAAGATTTCTGAAATTAATTTTTATTTATATGTGATACATGAGTATGTTCTTGTAAAAAAAAAATGGAAACAATATAGACACAGCTTAAGCGCTCCAATTCTGATCCTCTCTCTGACACTGCTCTTGATGTAGTGTGTATTCTAGACCTTTTGCCATGCATTTACGTAAGAATTCATAAAATTTTATAAAATATACTTTTATAAAACAAATGTTATACTCTACTTTTCCTTCTGCAACTTAAAAAAATCCCTATCCGGCCCTGGATCTATTTATCTTTTAAGCTGCTGCATGCATACTGTAATGTGGAGTATCACAATTAATTCTGCCATTTACCTGCTGTGAATGTCCCAACTCTTCACTGTTACAGCAATTAGTGAAATACCAGGGTCACAGAAAAGGTGTGCTTTAAAATATGTCATGCCAAATGTTCTTCCGAAATCCCTGTACCAATTTACACGCCTACGTAGAGATTTTTATTTTATTTTTTATTTATTATTATTTTTTATCTTCATTGTTGAAAGTATTACAACTGTCCCCACCCTCTCCATTGATCCGTGAGGAGAGACTAATCAAATAACTTATTTGCATAGATGCATAACCCAAGGACACAGACCACTGTACGGGGAAGGCCTGGAGGTGGGGCGGATGCGGGGTGGAGGGCATCTACACAGAGATTTTTAATCCTTTCTTGGGTAGTTTTCCCCCAGGCGGGCCCTGGGCTGGGCAAACCCCGCCCCACGCGCCCTGCTCAGACCCAGGCGGCACGCCCCCGTCCCCTCCCCTGAGCGGCTTTCGCCCCGCCCATGCCTCTCGGAGGTCCCGCCTCCTGCCCACGCCCCTTCCGGGGGTGGGCCATGACGTCACTGCCGGCCGGACGCCATCTTGCTGGTTTGCGGCTAGTCTTGGAAATAGCGGCGG